GATGGCTAAATGTCAGCGTTATAATTGTTGTGTGTGTGTTTATTTTTTATTTTTTAATGTTACGTCGATTCGGTTGACTGCGACACAAGCTGTATTAAATGCGTGGTGTTAATGTATGAATACCTACTATACATATGTATGTACACCCTGTGCCAAAAATAACGCATCAGTTTAGTAAACCATGGGTTTAAGCGCAGAAGATAATGGGCGAAATTTAGTGAAAATTGTACAGAAAGTTGGTTGTAACCAAAGCTCAGTATACCGAATTTTGAAAAATAAAAATAAAAAAAATCCAATTCAATTCGTCCTCAAAAAAGAAAGAAAAAAGTGGTAGACCGAAAAAGCCACTGCGCACGAGGATCGGATTATGGAACAGTTATGTTTGCAGAGCAGATTCCAAACCGCGACGAAATTGAGACGAATCCTAGCAGACACTACATGGATGGAACTCGCACTCTAGCCCGGCGGCTTCAACAATTAAATAACTTCGTACCACAGCTCTGCCATCGGGCCCAATCAAATTAAATTTAGACACATCTGAAAAAAATTACCCTTATCCAGTCATCTACAGTCCATTCTTGGTGGGTTTTGGCTCCGTTAAGTATTTTTTCTTCATTTTTGTAGTAAAATGTGTTTTTTTGCAAGTCTGCGAGCGAATAATCCCAATCGGTTAAGACGATGCTGTTGGCATATGCAGATGCAGCATTTTCCAATTAGAAAACTAAGCTAATGAGGTTGGTCAAGCAGTGAACGAGGACAAGGCAAAGTTCCTGCTGGCAACATATAAAGAGTTCACGCGTTTCGGGATACACGTCACTGTATGTGGCAGCTGTAACTTTTAAATAGTGAAGGACTTTGTCTTCCTAGGATTCAGCATAAGTACCACTAACGTCAGCCTGGAGATCAAGCGAAGGAAAACTCTTGCCAACAGGTGCTACTTTAAACTTGGTATGCAATTGAAAAGCAAAGCGCTCTCTCGACGACCAAAAATTATGCTCTACAAGTCTCTCGTCATGCCCGTTATTCTATATGGCACAGAAAATTGGACGATATCGTACTATTCCACGCAAGACCTACGGCCTTGTTCGCGTCACCGACGAATATCAGAGAAGGTGGAATGACGAACTGTGTGAGCTTTTGAACGACATGGACATACCTAAGCGCATACAAATTCAGCGATTGCTCTGGCTTGCACATGTTGTACGCATGGACAACGGCGCTCCAGTGAAAATATCCTTCGACTCGGCACGAATGGGTGAACACCGAAAGCAAGGAACACAATGGAAGGACCAAGTACTGAAAGACCTGTCTGCACTCTGAATGCGCATCTGGTGCAAATTCGCACAGGAGAGAGGCAATTGAAGAAGCTTTTTGGTCTCGGGTCAAACCGATAAACGGTTGTGCCGGTGCCAAATAAGTGCGAGTGCTTATTTGTTTCGAGTGAGTGTCTTCTAGGTTTCTTCACAATCTGTTCTGCAAAATCCAATCTTCCGAAAATTGGAAAAGTTAGTAATTTATAATTCACTGGATTCATTTCAAATTTTGCAGGCAGTCCGTTGGTGTATTGCAAATTAACTTAAGATTGAAATATTTTTTCCTGCTTGAAAAATAAATGAATGCGTTTTTTTTTTTTAATATTCATAGCATTACATTTGAATTTTTTTACGAATTTTTTAAGATTTTGTCCAAAAAATATTTTTTTTTTGGATTTTTTTTTTAATCCTTGTAGTTTCCGTAATTTTTAAGTTATTTAGTTGCTTCTAAGCTTGTTTTCCCCCATTTTTTGTACTTTTTCAACAATGCTCAATAAAAGTGAAAAATGTTGATAAGCGGTAAAAATAATACGATTTTCTGAAAAAAAAAATGCTTTTCTCCAAAAGGCCACCTTCTTTTTCCCCCAAATTTACAGGCGCCCATACGAACTTCGTTTGGTATTTTTTCGTTTCTTAGGAGAAACAAATTATGTTTATTTTTTCTTTAGAGCTTCTTAAAAAATAAAATCTTTAAGATTTCTAGTTGTACCTTGAATCTGTTTTTTTAATTTTGGACACTTCTAAATATGCATTTAAAATTAAAGAATTTTTATTAATAGCAATAATACTTAACTTTTTTGAAGAAAACAAAAATTTGTACTCAAAAGAAAACACGATTTTTGGAAAAATTTTTAGATATTATACTTATTCCTACAATTTTCGTTTGGTGTTTTGATAAATAGCAGTAGTAGCATAGGCAATTTCCAGCGACTTGAAACTTGCACCTCGAAAACTTAATGAAGTTTGTACTTGAGTTTATGTTGTTTATGCTATAGACCGAACTATATTTTAAAAGAAAATTATTAAAGGTACGAGGGTCGTATGAAAACTACCCGGCCTTGAATAGAATAAAACGATTTTTTTTAACGAAATTCAATTTATTTTTCAACATAATCTCCTTTTAGCTCGATACACTTAAGCAAACGTTTTTCCCATGTTTTGATCCCTTCCGAATAATAGGTTTTCTCCAACCCTTCAAAATAAGCATTTGTTGCTGCAATTTCTTCATCATTTGAGCTAAATTTTTTCCCGCCGACCCATTTTTTAAGATTAGGAAAGAGGAAAAAGTCACGGGGCCAAATCTGGAGAATACGGTGGATGAGGAAGCATTTGGTAGCCTAATTCATTGAATTTAGACATGGCTACGACACATGTGTGTACACGAGCATTGTCTTGATGAAAAAGAACTTTTTTTTTTCAACAAATGTGGACGTTTTTCCTTCAAAGCCTTGTCAAAATCACCCAATATTTTGCAGTAGTATTCGCCATTAATTGTTTTTCCTTTTTGTAGGTAATCAATATGTATAACCCCACGCGCATCCCAAAATACTGTGGCCATAACCTTGTTTGCTGATAATATCGCCTTTGCCTTCTTTGGAGCTGGTTCACCACGACGAGTCCACTGTTTTGACTGTTCTTTGGTCTCTGGTGTGGAGTGATCAATCCACGTTTCATCGACAGTTACAAATCGACGCCAAAACTCCTGGGGATTTGCGTTTAACATTGATAAACAATCATTTGAAATGGAAACACGTGTTTGTTTATGGTGTGTTGTGAGTAATCGTGGCACTCATCTTGCGGAAAGCTTTCTCATATCCAAATGATTTTGCAAAATATTATTAACCCGTTCAATTGAAATGCCCACACTCTCACCAATCTCACGCACTTTCAATCTTCGATCACTCATTACCATATCACGGATTTTTTCAATCATTTCTGGTGTAGTGACCTCATTTGGACGACCTGAACGTTCCTCATCAAAAATGCTCGTACGGCCGCGTTTAAATTCAGCTACCCAATATTTTATAGTTGTTAATGACGGTCCAGAGTCTCCATAAACTTCGTTAAATTCCGATTTAATTTCGTCGTTTGTTTTCTTTTTCAAAAACAAATATTTTATCACTGCTCGATATTCAATTTTTTCCATGTTGACAAAAAGCACAAAAGTAACTCAATTCTAACACGTATAAAATTTGTTGTAAATGTCATATCGCTGAGAAATTTTGACACGTGTTATTTGAAGAGTTGTATTTTTTAGCAAAATATTTTTTTTTGTTGTAGCAGCGCCATCTCTATTCAAAATCGGGTAGTTTTCATACGACCCTCGTAAATAAACATAATTGTGTTGCAAACAATATCATTTTGAATTTTGCAACTATTATTTTGTCCATAAGTGTATGCAGATATGTGAGGTTGTTTTAGTGGTTGTACGTTAGTTTATATTAGTTGAGTATTTTTCATAAATGCATGCGTGTGTATAGTGTATGGCTTTGTTTATACAAAAAGTTTATTAATTGTGTAATTTTTGTCTCATTCTCGCTTAGATAAGATATCATTAACTTTTAATTGTTCGGTTAAAATGCTTATGCAAACATTTATGCATATATGTAGATGTGTGAGGAAGAGGAAATTGATCAAGCGAAAATAAATAATACCTACAGTGTTGAACAAAATTGTTCACTATTTCGATTATGGACTTCATTGATAGACCCATTTCAGAGCACAATTTCTCAGTCAGTTTTAAGGCTGCCTGAACCCACCACGTAGATTACTAGCTTATCTGCATAGCCACAAACGTTAAATCCGTTGCCTGTTTGGTTTGGCTTTGCAGGAACTCTGCATACTGCCTCCTAGTTCCTACTGCCTTATAGAGATGCCGTTTTTAAATCGATTAAATCGAGGATCGATTGAATTGAAGATCGATTAATTGAGCCCTTCCGATTCGACTTTCTGTCGATTTTTCAGTTCCGATTCGATTCGCGAATCGATTCAAAAAAGTTGATAATCGACATTCGATTATTCCTCAATTGATTCATATTGATCTACGGTTTACCTCAGAAAATCAATAAAATTTTAAAGAAATTTGAGTTGGAGGCTGATACAATAATATAATGACGTGACACCTCCCACCTTTCTAACTTGAGAGAGCAAAGACCAAAGAATTCAATGACCCGCCTCTCTTTCTCCTCCGACTAAAGGGCTCCTCAGGGAAGCGTCTTGGAAATAACTCTATATAAAATTATGGCTAATACTACAACAAAAACTCCAAAAATCGGAATTCCAAACTGTATGGAATTTTTTTAGAAAAATTTTGCACTCCTTAATTACTGTTTTTAGAAAAAATTTGAGAACGCAAATTTTTTCTGAAATGGGTAAATGTAGAGTTTGCGAAAACAAAAAAAAAAAAAAACTAAAGAGCGTCCGTATTGAAAAAAATATACATATAAGTATACATGCATAAGTAAGCTCCATTGTATTATACACTTTTTAAACTAGTGGGTAATTTCGAAGTAAATCATAAATTTTTTTTTCATTTGTGATAAAAAAAAAACAAATTTAAGCACTTCCTTAAGTAGGTTTAATGATAAATTTCCTCTAAACTTTAAATAACAACGTTGTGCACTGCGTTCATAAAAGTAACCAATTAGTGCGATTCATGAAACATCGCAAAATGGCATTTCTGGTGAAATGGCAACTTTGCGAACAAAATTGCGTGAACGACCCTATCGCAATTCCGGATTGCAAATGTATTTTTTTTTCAAAATGTTGCGCATAAGTGAAAAGGAATCGCTTTTACCATTACACATCTTGGCAATTTTTTTTTTCTTTTTTTTTTACAAAGTATTTACGAATTTTTAGCTGCTTGATAGCTTTTGAATAAATCTGGATATTGAAGCCTTTATGAAAAATTTACGTATGCTTTAAAAATTACAATAATAGTTTGGTCAGATTGCCGTGTTTTGTTTCTTTGTAAAAATTAAGGACCACTGAACACAATTCCACCTGTGGAACCCTTAAATTTGGACACGCAAATATCTTATAAGTTGTTTTTGGAATAGTTTTGAAGGATTTGTGGGCCTTCAATAGACTAAACCCTTTTTAATTGGCCACTTGACAGTAGGGAGCTACCCACAAGTCCAACAAAAAAGTCCAATCCCACTGCACCTCAGCCATCTGACGTTTTTTTTAGACTCAAAGTCTACACATCTACGGAGCGCCCTATCAGGAACTTCTGATCACAGTGCTGCCGCCGAACGAGTGATTATATCAGTATATCAGTGCTGTATATCTGCAAAAAATGTTATCGACTGTTTCTTGTTCGTTTTCATTCCTGCAGCTTCTACCGACCAATGCCCTGTAAAGACCGATAATATCCTCGCAACGTCGGGTCTGGGTTTTCCCAAAGGTCGCGTGCTCTTTTAGGGTTGTATGCTGGCCAGATGGATGAGTTTGGCTTTATGCCATGCACGACCTATAATCCGAATTCGGAATTTCCGTGTCGCTGCGATGACCTGGAACCTTAACTTAATTTACTTCGATCTGACTACCAACTCTATTCGAAAGATTTATACACTCCATAATCAGCTTCAACGCTGTCCGAAGAAATTTTGGACTCGCTCAACTTGACAGTGCGCTGCAGTGTCGTAAGCTATTGAGCTCCATGTTTTTGGGGAAGAGTTTCAGAACTCGCTTGTTGCAGCATCTGAAACTCGAATCTCACGGAGTGTTGATGTGATGGCGGTTAATGTAACGGCTGCTCTTTTGTTAGCTTCGATAAGGCTTGTCTATGGGTATCATAAGCTTCCGTTTGGCATAATTGGAAGGTTCTAATATATCGACCATTTACTTAATATAATTTAAATACTGTGTAAACTGTACTTCGCATATTTTTATATTTTAATGTTTTTTCGCTGTATTTTTCATTGCAGGCACATTCCAAAGGCCAAAGCGACAGTCATTGCAGACACGCCCGAACTGAAGCGAATAGCTGAGAATACAAAAATCCAATCGAATGTTAAATATCACGAAGACTTCGAAAAATCCAAAGGCAAATTTACACAGGTTAGTGAAACAACTATTGCGTAGCAGCACGGTTTATAGAATATTAAATATGTAGATTAAAGTAATTTTAACTCCTCAAATATGTAATTCTATTTTAAAATGAAATTAAAGCTTTTAACTCGTGCAGGAGTATTATTAAGCAATTTTAAAATCTATAAAAAAAATTCACAATTTGCTTTGGCTAGGAATAGTAATACAGAATAGTGGAGCACTTTAGCCACTGCAGCAAAATTGGTTATTTTTTTATATAAAAAATATCCCCTTATCCGATTTAATTGTATTTACAAACATTCCTTTAAAAAAATAGGTCGCCGATGATCCCGAAACATTGCGAATAAAGCAGAATACAAAAATCATTTCGAATATTGCGTATCATGGTGATCTAGAAAAGAAGGCCGCTATGGAAAAGCAACGAGAAGCTGCCGAAATAGCCGATGTGCGAGGTATGTAGCAATTTAAAAACAATCTTGATTTATTTGAAGATATTATATTTGATATTAAAGGCGTGTGGCTTTTTTGCTCGTTTTGATAAATTGTGCTTACATTTATAACTTTCATGTGGCAGGATCATACAAAAATTTAAGCAGCTATTAACTTTGTTGTCATTCTAATCCAGTTCATCCTTAAAACATATTCGTAACAATTTTGTAAATTTGTGAGTCCTCGACAAGTAGATAATGTTGAAAATTTAGCAGTAGCTCGTTTTTTTTTGGTTAGTGGTTTCAGATTTTAAACTTTTCGAAAAGAGGGCAGTTTTCTTTTTATTTACTCTTTATTTTCTAAGATTTTCTTGCGTTTTCTTAAGATCGAATAATGGTGATTTCGTTTCTACCAAAAAATGTCGCCTTTTTATTGCCCCTTTCTCTTTTCGTGTTCGATTCCAAATTAAAGGCAAAGCGTGAAAAAATTTTGTGTTCGTTTCTTAAAATGTCGCACTCTTGTAAGGCAAAGAAGGCACCTTTTCTTTCTGCCCTTTGAAGCTTTATCAGGGGATATGGTTGCCCTGAAAATCAGATGGTTGCTTAAAACGATAATATCGCACACCTCAAAATAATAAATTCGTCAGAAAATACGAGGGCGACCTTGGGTTTTCCTTTTAACAAACTATAACAAAAATTTGCTCTAGCTTTTGCTGTAAGGTAAATAAAAGCTCTGTGTACACTTTTAGCGCATAATTTCAAAAATGCCAAATTTTAAACGAAAAAAATATTTATAAAAACAAAAAAAAAATATGGTACTAAAAATTCAATCACCAAAAAAATATACATACTTATATTTAAAACAATAAAATCCTAAAATTAAAAAAAATAAGCAAGAAAAAAATTAAATTAACTTATGAAAATTAAATGAAATAAAAAAAAAAGTTTTTTTTTAAGCAATACAAGATAAAAATGAAAAGAAAATCAAATTGAAAGAGAAATAAATTTCATTAAAGAAATACATAAGTTTATAAAAATTAAATGAAATTAAAACAGAAATGATATTTTTATTTTTAAAACGATATAATCTAAAAGTTAAAAGAAAAAATAAGTAATAAACGAAAACAGTTAAATTATAAAAACGAAAAAATGAAACTAAAAAAAAAAAAACAAAAACAAGTTTTTTTTAAACAATAAAATATAAAAATTACAAGAAAATAAATTAAAAATTAAAATTAAGAAAATTAAATAAAAAATAAAATAAATCTCTAAAAATAAAATTTAATTAAAAAATACTTCTTTTGCAAACAATAAAATCTAAAAATAAATTGAAAAAGATTTAACTGAAAAAATATATCAAATAAGTCTCTAAAAATTACATGGAAAAAGCATATACAATGGTGGAAAAATAAATAGGGACAAGACATTTCAACCACTTTTTCCTAGTTTTCTTCTGTTTATGTAATATTTATTATTTATGCAAATATTAAAAATTTCTGCGAAATTGCATCTACATTCTCAATTTTTTAATCAGATTTTTTAGAATTTTGTATGCAGTTTTATAGCCCATTAAATTTTAGTAGAATAAAGTGCAATTTTGAAGTTCATAAAAAATCGCGTTGATTTTTAATAATTTTTATTCTGAATGTATTACGCACTTTTTTCCAAACAAAAAAATTTTGAATATATTTTGTATGGAAGAAAATGCTTTAAAAAAATTGTCAAAAAATCAACGCTATTATTTAGCAACTTAAAACTTACACCTCATTCTACTAAAATTTAATGGGCTACATACTAAACAAATTCTACAAAACCTGATTAAAAAGTTGAAAATTTAGATGCAGTTTTACAGAATTTATATAATTTTTTCACAAAGTTTGAAACATGAATTTATATGGTTAGATAATGAGCTACAGTTTTATAAAAAAATTACAAATATTAAATAAACGAAAGAAAAATAGGCAAAATTTGCAAAAATGTCGTGTCCCTATTTATTTTTCCACCACTGTATAAGTATTTATTTTTACAATACATTTAAAAAATTAAGGGGAAAAAAACTATTAAAAAAAAATCAAATTAAAAAAGATAAAAATCCTTACCGGAGACTTCCAACCTCGGATCTCTCGAATGGCACGCCAGTCGTTAGCACTTAGCCATTGCGACTGTTGGCAGCGCGAGCAAAATAATATTAATCTCCATTTGGAATATGCTTGCTGTGAAAAGAGCTTTTCGCATGAAAGTTGGCAAGAAAGCTTTCTGCGTAAGACTTTCGTTCCAGAATAAACAAAATCTTTCAAACTAACTTCCCTATGGAGTTTCAATTGTCTTACAAAAGACTTGCAACTATCTTAGCCAGAATTGCCCCGTAAGTCTTAGGTGGATTTTCATTTAAGTACAACATAGATATTGGATTAGATTTAAATTATAGATTTGGTATAGAGAATTAATAAAAAGTAGTGTACGAAACGAGTGCTAGTTTAGAAACTATCATCACTATTACCTGCATATCAACAAATACGAGTAATATAAGTCATTTAATGCACCATAAATCACTTACATTTGTATCTACAATGATTTATATGTACATACATTTATTGGACAATTGTTTATTTTTATTTGTGTTTTTTTTTTGTTTGTTTCATTTTTATTTTCTGTGACATCGTGCATGTGTTGTCCGTTTACGTTTTCATTTCGAACGTTCCACACACAACGAACACCACATACCTACTATCAACCAACAACAATGGTGTAATGCAAAACAAAACCACACGAAAAACTCAATACGCCAAACGACAACT